ATAATACAATAATATATAATTGTGTTATATAATACGTAAGTTTTAACGTCAGCTACGAGACGATTCAAATTATTATTTTGACACGAAATATACAGATCTCGATTATTCGAATGACAAAATAAACAGTTTAAGAGCAGATTTTTCTATCGTCGTCGATTTTCATGTAAATTGTAAAAATTACAACCAAATACTAAATTAGCTGCGAAACTTCAATACGGACGAATCCAGAAACAAATTTTCCTGAATTATAATCTAGAATCTCTGTCGAACGTGACGGGACTAAAAAGAACATCGGGACTCGCATAGAAATGTAATGCAATCGTTAATGAAGTCGCGTGATCGTAAAAAAAAATTACAAAATTACTGATACTAACGTAAAAAAGCGTGATCAAAAAGCACATCGGGACTCGCATAGAAATGTAATGCAATCGTTAATGAAGTCGCGTAATCGTAAAAAAAAATTACAAAATTACTGATACTAACGTAAAAAAGCGTGACAAAAAAAAAAAATAAAATAAAAAAAATAAAAAAATAAAAACTATTTGAAAATGTAATGAATGCTTATTTATAAAATACGGATAACGTAAAAAAGTTACACGATCTTCTTGAAAAACATTAAAAATAACCAACAAACAGGCGACGATTTTAGCATATCGCAAAACCTCTTGACTTTCGATCAAGTTTGACGATTCGCGCGAGTATGTAAACGAATAAGAAAAGTTTGGCATCACCTTAGCATTCCTCAGACCTTCGACAACGGAAACTTTTTCCTTCGTTCATACAGGGTGGACCAAAAAAGTTTCTTTTCACCTATTTTTTTCTTTTTTTTCGAACATGAGACATCAAAGTGCAAGGAAAAACAAATTGCATCAACTTTAAATTAAGTAAATAGTTAAAATAAATAAATAGTTAAGTTCAAACATAAATTTAAGTTTTTCATTATTTCTGAATAAATCAACTTTAAATTAAGTAAATAGTTAAAATAAATAAATAGCTAAGTTCAAACATAAATTTAAGTTTTTCATTATTTCTGAATAATTAGTCAACTTTAAATTAAGTAAATAGTCTAAATAAATAAATAGTTAAGTTCAAACATAAATTTAAGTTTTTCATTATTTCTGAATAAGTCAACTTTAAATTAAGTAAATAGTTAAAATAAATAAATAGCTAAGTTCAAACATAAATTTAAGTCTAATAGTCTAAATAAATAAATAGCTAAGTTCAAACATAAATTTAAGTCTAATAGTCTAATTAAATGAATAGCTAAGTTCAAACATAAATTTAAATTTTTCATTATTTCTGACTAATTAATCAACTTTAAATTAAGTAAATAGTCTAA